AAAATATGTGATTAACTGTAATCATTTAATTGTTTAAATAAATTACCAGGGTGAGTACAAAGATTAATTTGATTTGCTTTATCATTTGTATATGTGATTAACCATAATCATTCAATCATTTAAATAAATTACCAGGATGAGAATGAAGTTTAATTCGATTCACTTTAATGATTGTATTTCAAGAGAATGTATGATTAATTGTAATCATTTAATCATTCAAATAAATTACTAGGGTGAGTATAAAGTTTAAATCGATCCACTTCAACGATTATGTTTTAAAACATTGATTAATCATAATTATTCAATCATTTAATAAATTACTAAAGTGAGTACAAAATTTAATTCGATTCACCTTAATGACTGTGTTTTAAGAGAATGTATAATTAACCATAAATATTCAATTGTTTAATAAATTACCAGAGTGAGTATAAAGTTTAATTCGATTCACCTTAACAATTGTATTTCAAGAGAACATGTGATTAACTAATCATTTAATTGTTCAAATAAATTACTAGAGTAAGTATGAAATTTAATTCGATTCGCTTTAACGATTTTATTTAAAACATAAATTAATCATAATCATTCAATCATTTGAATAAATTACCAGAGTAAGTACAAAATTCAATTCGATTCGCTTAACAATTGTATTTCAAGAGAATGTAAAATTAACTATAAACATTTAATCATTCAAATAAATTACCAGGGCAAGTATGAAGTTTAATTCAATTCGCTTTAACAATTGTGTTTCAAGACATTGATTAATCATAATCATTCAATTGTTTAATAAATTACCAGAGTGAGTACGAAGTTTAATTCGATTCGCTTTAACAATTGTGCTTCAAGAGAATGTGTGATTAACTGTAATCATTTAAACATTCAAATAAATTACTAGTGTGAATATGAAGTTTAATTTGATTTGCTCTAATGATTATGTTACAAGACATTGATTAACAGTAATCATTCAATTGTTCAATAAATTACCAAGATGAGAATGAAGTTTAATTTTATTCACCTTAACGATTGCGATAGACTCAACTGCGACTACATACTATGATCATTGAATAGCAAGTTCTATAATAGGAATTTTTACTTCGAATTATGGTAAAAATTGACAATCTCAACTATAACCATATTAATAAATAATTCTGATGAAAATTATTAAAATTTAATTATATATTGCGTATATTGCAATAATAATAAATTTGGTAAAGAATTTTTAACAGAAATTAATTAAAAAATAAGATAGGTGGTGCGAATGTGTCACACATCGCACTAGTTATATAATAAATTTGCAATTTTAAGATTAGCGTAGATCCCTATATATATATTATATTTATGTTAAAAAAAATTGATATTATCTCATGCTAAATTATCCGAAACTTTCAAAACTTTTGATTTTTGCCAGCAAAGGCTGATAGTAACCGAATCGATAAGTCAAGTTACTAATATCAAAAAATAGCATGTCGCTCTGACACTAGTATATAAATAGCCTTTTTTAAAGTACGCAATATGTAATATAAAATTATAAATATAGTACTTGATAACTACCCCAGTATTGCCATAAAAATTTTGCAGACACGTGATTTTTTGTGGAGCCAGCAAATCAGAATTCAAGATTAGGCGTAACATTACATGATTAGAAAAATTCAAAACAAACGTTCCCTTTGTCAAAAATCACTTGTTTCTCAAAACATAGCATAAGAAACCATCTTTAGTGCTTTAACAAAAAGTTTTTCTTGAGCAATTTTACCTATAGCTCTCACTTACCCTAACCCAAACCCGAATCCTAACCTAACCTAAATGAACTTTAAAGACTTTTTCGATTCTCACGTGTCTGCAAAATTTTTATAGAAAAATTATCTGATTTGCTTTGTTCATATTATTATACGGAGAATTTCTATTGGCTGATATATTAAAAAAATAAAAATTTTGAAATTCTATTTTGTTGACCCGGCAGGATATGAAAACCGAAAATATAAGTTTGTATAGCCTTATAGATAAAATATAATTTTAGCTAAAGTTATTTAAAGTTTATCTAATTTACAAGTATTAGCTAACTTGGCTCTTTGCAATACTAAAATATTCAAAGTACTTATGTTTGATTAGCTATAATAAAGCTTATTTTTATACTAAAAATTCTGCAACTGAATAATTTAATATATCATTAAATAGTATTTATAGTTTATCAAAATTACCTTTTTTTCTAACCTTTTTCTTCTAATTTCCCAAGCAGAAGGATTTATAGTCTTTAACTAAAAAAAAAACCAATACTAATAAACTATAAAAGAATAAGTAACAAGAAAACAAATAACTTTTTTTTTTGAAACAATTCAGCAATCTTGCTTCTACTTTATTAAGCTTGAAAATATTATACTGAGAAATATTACAAACTTTCAAAAAATGAATCTCTAAAAGTCAAGTTTTTACAATACCTAAATTACAAGTATTAGCTCACCCGGCTCTTTGTGACCAAAGTCCAAATTATCCATGTGTGATCTGCTATAAGCAGAATTCTCCTCTGTAATATTTACTTTTGCACTTGAAGAAAATAAAACTTTACCGGAAGGTTTCTACTAGCCTATCAAGACTACCTATTTCTTCTTTAAAACTTTTTCCACCTAGATTTGGGCAGAATAGTTAATCTCTTACTTTTCTATAAGAAAAAAAATATATGCTACATTTATAAAAGAAAAAAACTAAATTTAGAAAAAAAAAGAAAAAAACAGAAAAAAAAGAAAAAAAAGATATAACCAAAAAAAACCTAAACAGTATTTTAACATAATAGGAAAAAGATAAAAAAAGCAGAAAAAAGAGAATAGGATAGTCCTGATGGACGCATCCAATGAAAAAAAAGAAAAAGAAAATATACTATTATAACCTGTATTAGGTAAGTGTAAAAATTATATAACAAATACAATATTTGTATATTTCTGTTATAAAGCTTTGCCTTAATGTTTGATTCTTCTTTTTGATCTTCCGGTTGACTCTGAATAACAATATTGTACTCGTCCTAATTCATATCTTAAGCCAGATGCTGCTACCGTCCATAGACCCGTATCTCAAGCCACTTGCTACCGTTATTAGGGGTTTTATACCGGGGCTTGATCCTAACACGCCATATCTATAAAACACATGGTTGCAATTCATTAGATTGTCCAAATTTAGAAAGTAAACAATGTCGATCTTTTGGAGGGGGTAAGCCAAATTCCCCACTTTTTCAAAAAAATTTGGAAGACCAATAGGGAAGCGAGAGTGAGTAAAGAGGAGAACCACTTATCTAAGTAAAAGAGTATGGCTTAGAAAAACTAAAATTTTGTTGTATCCCTTGTGTTTTTTGTTAATAGTCAAGTAGTTTCATTGATGAAGTTGAGCTTTGCCCATATTTCACCAAGATTTTATATACAAGGGCACCACCTCCAGATTTATTGTTACCTTGCCAGTTAACTTGTATAGTAATGCTTCTAGCTTGTATGCCAAATGTCTTTTAGAGGAGTCCTACCGAGTAAATATTGACCTCTAGACAAACCACTACATCAACCATGACTCTCCAACAAAAATTTGTTTTTCTGTTAGTAGGAAATTTTTGGTTTAATTGATGATCCACCAGTCATCTGAAGAATAATGTGACTCAGATTACTATATAAATTTACTATAGTGCGAATATGGCGATCGTTATATTCGCACTATAGTAAATTTATATAGTAATCTGAGTCACATTTTACTATGATTATTCTTCAGGTGACTAGTGGATCATCAATTAAGTGATTGTCGGAAAGAGTTCAGAAATAAGAATTAAGAAAACAAATAACAAAAAAGAAGAAAAAAGCAAAAAAAACAATTTATAAAAGTACTATTATAGCCTATGTTAGGCACAGTTGTAAAAATTATATAAAAATTTTGTATATTTCTATTGTAAAGCTAAACCTTATTCTTAAATTTTCTTCTAACTATACTATTTGATTATTAACTAAAGCACCAATTGGTTCATCATGTGGTATAGAAGTATTATTGTCAAAACAATTCTATCTAAAAATAAAAAGTGTATAATGCTGATCTTTTGAAGGTAGTAAGCTGAAATGCTACTTTTTGTAACAAGTACTGTACTTGCAGTAAGTGATAAACTCTAAACTACTAGCAGAGTATATAAGAACTATTTTTAAACAATAGTTGTCTTTTTACATTCTTGTTTTCTATATCTTATATAGTCTAGTATGAATATTTGTATTTTTTTCTAATATAAAGTTTTTTGAAAATTTTTGATACAAATAATTATTGAAAAGAGTTGATATATAGATTATTTTGATTATATTTTTAAATTAAAATTTTTAAATTTTATTAATATAAATATAAGAATAAATTTATTTGATGCACCCCGTTACATAACGAATTTGTTATGAGTTGCATGATACATAATCGGCCAATTACAAGCATAAGTATATTTAAATAATTAATAAAAATTTTATTCAAATTAATATATTATCTAACTCGAAACCTAACTCTAAAACGACTCTAACCCTAACCTTACTAACTAACCCTTAAATAACTCTAACCCTAACCTTAACTAACTAACTAACCCTAAAACGACTCTAACTCTAACCTTAACTAACTAACTAACCCTAAAATAACTCTAACCCTAACCTTAACTAACTAACTAGCCCTAAAACATTGCTAAAACAAAAGAACTTACAGAAAAGAAAATCCCTAACCAACTCTAAAACGCCACGACACCAAAAGAACTTACAGAAAAGAAAACTTCAAAATGACATCGAAGTTGGCATCATGAAACCAACGATCTTATATAACTGAAACTCCAGGAAAATGACGTAGTGATGCAACGACACCTAACGAAAGCGATGAACTAATGAAATTGTCTCATCAAAAATGGCGAATTCAAACAAACTAACTCGACTACTCAAAAGAAAGAAAGGCCGGTTAGTAAAACACAACACACACTAAACAAAAAAGTAAACTACCACGAAAGTCCACTGAAATCAATAGTATCACGCAAATGGAAATTGAGTGATCCTACAAGAAACAATGACTCCAAAATAGCACCTGGTTATCTGAGAGAAAATATAGTCGATTAGTAAAACACACTCGACAGTATCACGAAAACAGAAATTGACTCCAGTGACAGTGATACTACAAGAAATGATGACTACAAAAACGATGACTCCAAAATGGCATCTATTTATCTAAAAAAAGTAGGGTTGGTAAAACACAACACACACTAAAACAGAAAGCAAAAACACCATGAAACTCACACCAACGAATGTTCCAGAAAATGACGACTCCAAAATGGAATCACACCAATGAGAACGACGACTCCAATAACGACGGCCTAAAATGGCACCTGATTCCTGAAAAAACATAACACACGCTAAAACAGATGACAAAAATGCAACGAAACCTACCGAAATCGACAGCATCACAGGAATGAAAGCTCCAAAAAATGACGACTCCAAAAACGACGACGTTAAATGGCGCCTGATTATCTGAAAAAAACACTACACATGCTAAAACAGAGGGCAAACCCTACTGAAATCGACAGCATGCACTAATGAAAGCTCCAAGAACAACGACTCCAAGAATGACCCGATGATTTCAACGATGGCATGAAAGTATCAGTTAGTAAAACAACATGCTAAGGAAAAAAAATATCGATTATCAATGATAATCATTGTTTATATAACACACATGACCCGTGACAAAAATATCATATTACTGGGTGCAACATAAATATTTATTCTAAATATAAAACTAATTTAAAATTTTAATTATTATACAATTATTAAATTTAAAAATTTAAAAATAAATTTTAACTAAAAAAATTATTTATACTGTAAGTTCTTAACAATTTTTTTAAATATTGATTTTAAATATTAATTTTTATTGCTTATTATAGCTTATATAAGAAATAATAACTTTTATATTTTTAATAGTTTTGTAAAAATTAAATCCTGTATTAAAAATAAAATTTTTTAATATTTAATGGATAGGATTTAAACGTACTACTGGTAGTCTTTTGTACTTAATTGTGATACTACTTAAAGCTAATTATTTACAAATTTAACAAATTAATAAGCTAGGAGTTGGGATTTCACGGCCTAGTGGTCTAGACACCCAACTCTCCATGAGTGGGTTTCGGGTTCAAGTCCTAGTAGGTACGTTTATCTACGAATATTTGGAAGTATCTGCCATGAGAAGTCCAAGTGAATACAAGTCTGGATTAGGAATTTCCAGAAGGAGGTCCATTGTGGAGTAGTTGGCACTATGTGTAATAGTGGTTGTTACAGAAGGTTCTATTACACAAAGGTTG